TCATTGGATGTCTTGTTTATCATTGAGATCGATTGGTTATTGGTTAGCAGGTAGAAGGAAATCTGCCAATAACCATGAAGTTTCATGAATGAGATTACATTGTCTTAAGTAGGGTTTGTATCTGTATATACGTGCCTCTAATACTGACACAAAATCATTATTGTAAGGTTGCTTAGAGAAGACCATGTCTAATATCAGAATAGACATATATTTATGTATATCATAAAGATTGATCATACCGAATCATGTGCGAGTTCTGCATTAGTTTGTCCCATTTTGAGAGTCATTTTTCAGCTGTGAGGCATAGAGTGGAAAACTTAATCCAAAAGTGTTAGAAACGGCTGTTTTGTTACCATTGTAAGGTCGCACTTTTATCAGGTCTATGACAGCACATACTAGTATAAGGAACGTTGTGGGGCATGTATTCAATTCAGCTGTTTAGTGATTTAAAAAAAAATTACTTGTCTTGTGTCCTAATCATAGCCTTGCAGAATTTCCCGCGTCAAAACATACCGTACGAGTGTTATGCCACGCCCTTCACATGTAAGGCCCGGTCACACTGGCGGAACTTTGCTGGAGCGTTGCTTGAACGGTGAATAAAATTCATCACCGCTCGAAACCGCTCACCACCGCTAAACAGAAGTTGGCCCCCGTTAAAGCAACGCCGTGTACGCCCGGCCACCGCTGACGTTTCTGGAGGGGCCCTCCTACCGCTCCGAAAGTTTTGAGCTGCACAAAATATTGCGAGCAGTGAGGAGGGGGAAATTTTCCGCTCCGGCAAAGTTCACCCCCGCTCCACCAACGCCCAGTCAAAGTTTGGCATCGCTAGACGCAAGTTCGTGGACGCTTGGGTCCGCTAGGCCAACGCAGAAATCTTGAACGCTTGACCACCGCTGCTTCGCCAGCGTTGCCCGGGCGGCGATTAAACGTTGCACAAACGTTGCACAAACTTCGCTGGAGCGGTTGCAAGCGTTTTACGAGCGGACACGTGGTTGCTGGAACGGTGTCAGGCGTTGAAGCAGCGATCCATGTCGGCAATGAACTTTGGTTTGGCGTTGGTATAGAGGTGTCGGAGCGGGACCAGAATTTGGCTATAAGTACGGTAAGAAATGGACGAGGTGCTCATTTGGAATCGAGCTGCCGTTGAGTTCAGGCCTCATCTATATCGAATTTGCTCGAAGTTACAGTAAAAATGTATCACCCTGGATGCTGAGAGACTTGCTATGATTGGTGCACTAGTGTGCAATTATTTTGGGGCCACACGTAAAATGTTCAAAGAGGGGTCACACGGGCAATCACTTTATTGGGGTCACAGGGGAACTTTGCAATCTGCAAAGTTTTATTTTCATTATCAATTAAATAACGTAGTCAAGAATAGATTAACAAAATGATGTTTATTAAAGCTATAAGTCCCCCCACACACAGAACAGAACTTGTACTACTACAAAACGATCCGTTCAACTCCGTAGTCACAAGCGGTATGCCGCTAAACCGCATGCGCAGAACTCCGCTATACCAACGCTTGCGTCACCGCTATACCAACGTTCGCTACCGCTAAACCAACGCTAAAGCAACGTCGGCTTCAGCGGTACACCGCTAAGTCAACGCCGTGTTTTTATTTTTCCCCCCACATTTTGGGCGCGGTGACGAGCGTTGTCGAAATTCGGACCCCGTCCCTACCGTTAAAGGAACGCTCCAGCAAAGTTCGGCCAGTGTGACCGGGCCTTAAGTGATTAAAGAAGGTTTCCCGTGCTCTTGCCCGAGCGTTGGGTGGTGCCCATTTCCATTTCGTAGGCCCTGGGCGACACACAGTTGTGCAAGGCACTACACTAGGGGGCTAGTCCGCTGGTAGTGCTGTGTGTTTGACCTTCCCACACTCTTTCTCATATGTGCTGAGTGCTAAGCAGAGAAAGAAGTTTGTAAAGTCTTTTAAAGTCTTTGGTATGACCCGGCCGGGGTTTGAACTCACGACCTCCCGGTTACAAAGCGAGCACTCTACCAATTGAGTTATTGCACCGGTTGTATTAAGTGATTAAAGTATTGTGAAAAAAATGCCAGAATGATGTAGTGGCTATATATGGTATTGAATCGACTGGGAATCTTAGTTTGACAAATTGTCCACAAGCACAACAAGTGCACTTTTGGCTGATAAATGAGGCGTGTCTCATGGAGGATTGAACAGTCAAGGACCTTCTCTTGGGAACCGGTGCATGTCGTCAGACCCTGCCAACAGTTCTTTAATCATTGGAATTCAGGCCGCAGAACTAATAGAATGAATGAATGAATGAATGAATGAATGAATGAATGAATGAATGAATGAATGAATGAATGAATGAATGAATGAATGAATGAATGAATGAATGAATGAATGAATGAATGAATGAATGAATGAATGAATGAATGAATGAATGAATGAATGAATGAATGAATGAATGAATGAATGAATGAATGAATGAATGACCTTTATTGTACGTTTGTGCTCTAACAAGCTAAGTACAGGTCATGAATAGACAAGGAAAAGGATACAGCAATGATACTTAAACTATACATACTAATGTGATCTACTATTTACATTGTTCGACTTCTTCTCGCTTCTTGACGCAGTTATAGATGTAGGAGCATATAGAACTAATGATACATGGTTTGTCAAGTTTCATAAGAAATATGAATTTTTCTGCTTCATTTAAATGCATTCATTCCAAAGCTAGGGAACTTAATAATTTCACATTTCAAAATTTCATGTCAAATTCATACGACTATAAGCAAATATGCGTCCAGGACCAAAACTAGATTGATGTGTGGTTTTAGAACAACCTTAATATTTCTATAATGATAAGTTTATTGCAAATTCATGCCCAAAGGCTACTTTGAAAAAAGGTGAAAAGTGAAAAAAGGATGAAGAACATTTACACAGAGTACAAATAAAAACGTAAGCTATGGAAGACATAATGTCCCACCTTTTCTAAAATTTGTGGGTTTTGGGTAGTTAAGAGAAGAATAGTTTTGTCTCTGTCTGTAAGTTTTGCATTTTTATGATTATTGACACTAAGGCCACACCAAGAAAATTTTATGGATGCCGTCCTTTGGACACCCTAAATCTAATGCGAGAGGGCGAAAAAAAACAAGAAGGGCCCTAAAAACAAGATGCTAATATATATGTATAATAAGAGACGACAAATCTTAGGACACAAATTGAATGAGGTGACACAGTGTAACAAGCAAGAAGTCTTTTATTCATCATCAAAACAGCAATAAATCAGGTGGAACAGCAGTTGTTGTCCTGTCCTGTTTCTTTCATCACATTTTGCAGGCCTGCAGAAACAAAGCATGTGCTCTTTACCCATTTCACGTTACGGGTTTCACGTCAATCTATCGATTTGCGGCACTGTCGTGACTCTTTGGTCATAGTTACAGGAAGCGGAATTTGTTTTTGTTTTTTCTAGGAACAGGCCAAAATCAATGCGCGCGTAGACGTCATCCATAAAATTTACTTGGTGTGGTCTAATCAGGCATAAACCTGCACCTGTAGGGATTATACTGTAAAAACAATCGACCCCTTTTTCCACGTTGTAATTTTCAAGACTGTACTTGTGTGAATAGCAAAGTTTACCCGGTTCCAATTTCACTTCTACAACTCCTACACATTCCTAACGGTGTTCTCAAGTGTGAGCTTTACGGGCCGTATCGAGCATATCGGGCTCGGTGAAGGACTGGGTGGCTAATTCTTGGAATACTTCAAGCGGCTGTCAATGACCTCTTCCGGGTCTGTACAGGCCCTCAACTTCTTCTCTGTGGGGCCGTATGGCGTTAGTCTCCACCAGACTCCTTTGCAGGCTGAATAAATAGTAGAAATCGGCTAAGGGAGACATCATTTGCCAGAGGAGTTGGGCGGCCATAGAGGGTCCAGCTTGCCAGCACGGAGTCTGTGGAAACTCGCTATCCTCTTTGAAGTCCACAAATGGGTTTTAGATAGGTGCGAAGTACCAGAGTAAGCCGTTTATTGCTTTGCAGGCAAGCTGGACCCTCTATGGCCGGCCAACTCCCCTAGCTGGCAAATGATGTCTCCCTTAGCCGATTTCTACTATTTATTCAGTCTGCAAAGGAGTCTGGTGGAGACTAGTGTGGCGTGACGACAGGGCGTTCGGCTCGGACCCAAGAGGTCCCGAGTTCGAATCCTGGCATGCCACCGATCTTGTGCCCTTGAGAAAGGCACTTTATATACGGATTTCATCACTTTACTCAGGTGAAAATGAGCAGGTCTGTTGTTCATTAATGGTGTACGGCATAAATAAATATAAGTTTTAAAAAACTTGAGTGTGCCGTCGCCATGTCTTGTACTATAAGGCCACACCGATTTAATTTTATGGATGACATCCGCGCGCGCATTGATTTTCGCCCGTTCTCCAAAAAAAAAAAAAAAAAAAAGATCACGCCATCCGAGGCTCTGGCCTGCCTCTAGGCCTGGGTAGTCCATGGTAGTTAGCGACAATACGGAGGTAGTAACTCTGGAGGACGGCACCCAGGCTACCGAAGTTCCACGACTCAAGAACTTAGTACATACGTACAGTGCCGCGCGCGCGATTCGTAAATTCCGCAAAAAGCCAGCATGTGCCGGTGTGTCGTATACGTCGCTATGTACTGCCGCAAATTCACAATACCAGCTTTGTGAAAGTTTGTATCCCTATGGTTTAGTAGCATTTTTATTTTTGGCCGGATTTTTTTTTATTCGCCCGCGCGCACTAGTTTGGGGGTCTTCAGAGGATGTCATCCATAAAATTAAATCGTTGTGGCCTAATGTTGGAATAAAAAAAAACTTTTCCCCTTCTGTTCCAATTGAAAGGCTTTACTCTGAAAATTACTCTGAACTTTGAAAAGGCTTTACTTTGAAAATGAGTATGTCTGTTGTCCAACCATGGTGGCAGCATAAATATGTGTGCCGTTGCCATATCGTGTAATAAATGTTGGAATAGAAAAAAAACTCCTTTTCTCTTGTGTTCCAGTTGAGAGGCTTACGGGAGGGCCGTCTGGAGGGCATTCCTGAGGAACCTGGGAAGAAGACTAAAGGGCGTCCTCCAATCATGACTGAGACTTACGACTCGTTCCCAACCTTCGACGTGCGGAAAACCTCGCCGCCGAAACCAGGCGGGCGGAGACGGGAGTCCATCAGCCACACGTTACAGCTCGCGCTGTCGCAGACTCGACCTGAGCTGCCCGTTCTCAGTCACCCCGTGGCGCTGTCCGATCTCACGGCGCCTGACCAGCAGGGGTGGCTGTACTCAGAGACGGACGGCAACAGGTAAACCAGTATTATATAAATAGTCATTTTGCATTAGGCCACAGTACGTAAATTTTATGGATGACATCCTCCTCAGACTCAAATCTAATGCGAGCGGGCGAAAAAAAACAAGACGGGCCGAAAAAAAAAACACGGTTCCTACATTTTGACTCAAACATTGTACAAATGGTTTTGATTCAGTGGGAACATCACATATACACAGCCAGTATCACATATCACTGTATCAAAGTAAGAAACAAAATATTAAATCAGAGCTTTTTCTTGTCTACTCTCTTCATGATCAATCGTATCTGCCATCCACCTTCTGGCATGGCAAGAGAGATCTTTGCCTATTTTCGGCAACAAAATTTCTCCCCAAAATCCCCAGTTTTTCCCCCCAAAATCAGGCGAAAATTAATGCGCGCGCTGATGTCATCCATAAAAATTACTTGCTGTCGCCTTAGATAAAAGAAAATATTACAAGAACGTTTCCAAACTTCTGATTCCTGACTAATATTGAAAAATCAATCTTTCTTATGCGCTTTGATCATCCTGTATTAAACAAACCCATCTCAAATTATATTTCAACATCACACAGAAACGAGAAGAAGCCGAACTTATGCATTAGAGTTGTTTTAGAGCTGTTTGACAAAATTACTTTATGTGCATCTATATATTAAGGTTTTTACCTTTTTTTATTCATTTTTAATGGGAACTTTATGGAATATTAAGTTGTGGTGGAATTGTTACTAGATATTCATAAAAATGACTTATTTCATACTATGAATGTAAATGCCACCATTGTCTTTTTAAAAGTATTGTAATGAAATGTGTTTGTTTATTTGAATTTACCACAAGTACAAATATACAAGTGGAAGGGAGGGCAAAACAGGTGCATTGACACCTTTACAAGTTGTCCTCCCAAACACTACATTATAAAATTAATACAGAATAATACAATATCAATCAAACAGATGCCAAACAATACAATATCAAACATTATTAACATGAAATACAAATTACTACAATATCATACATAAGACATGAAACTCAACAATTCAGCAAAATGGCTTTAAGTAATATGAAGTTGTTTATTGCAAATTCATGCCCGAGGGCTAATTGCATACAGACATTGACAAGAAAAATGTGGTGATATAAGACTATTTGCTAACATGAAGTTCTACGTGTACGATATACTTATCGAACCTACTATCTCTACTTAAATCTAATAACGTTGGTATACATGGAGGATAAAAAGTAAATATGCAATATGTGAACAGGTAATAGGAACAAAGTAACTGCTATTCAGATCTATTCTATTCTATCAAACTATTCTTGTCATGCTATTAGGGGGTTTGACTTCTTCTCAGGAGGCAGTGGGAGATGAATTGTCCGTCTCTTTCAAAAATAAATGGGTTGGTGGACTTTAGCAATAATATAGTCTTTTGTTGTTGGTTGTGATATGAAGAATGTGGGGAAATATTGGCGAATTCTTTGAATAACTTTTTTTCTTTCAAAATAAACCATTTACTCATTCATTCATTCACTCATTCATTCATTCATTCCTGCAGGTACTGGTGCGTGGTAGCGGACATGTTGTTCTGCATGTTCGAGCAGGAAACTTCAGAACAAGCCGCCAAGGTTCTCGTCTTACCCGGCTACGACGTCAGAGCTCTCACGTTCCAGTCGGAAAAGGTCCGTGCGGAGGCGAGCGATCCGGACTGCTGCGCCGAGCGCGACGAAAAACGACAAGACACTCTCAAGAGAGCGCGTAGCCTGACCACCTCGGGGATGGGAAAGTACCAGTTCAAACTCTCGTACGAAAACTTCGAAGACGCGGAGTTAGTGTTCAGCGCCGAGGACGAAGCTGAGGTACAGTCTTGGGTGGAAACGCTAACGGCGTCCTCCGAACTAGACCCCGACTTCTTCACGGATTCGGGCACTGAGCAAGATGGCGAGAGCTCGGAGGAGAACGCAGTCTCGAGGCTAAGCGCGTACAAACCGTCTCCAAAGCAGGCTAGAAAGAGAATGGAGCTCGTCAACCAGTCAACATGCAGTAGCAGCGATTCGGAAGACGACCAGAGACGTGTTCAAATCGCACCCATATCCTCTTTACAGACTCCGACCAAAGATAAGGGAGCGCTGAGTCGGGAAAGCAGTCCTAGGACATCGCCGCAACTATCTCGCAAGGCGGCGCTGCACTCCCCAAAACCTAAGGTAGTCTCCAAACTCTTCAGCGGCAACAAGTCACCAATGCAACAGAGGAAAAAGAAGTTAGGGGCTAACATCGTACACAAAGTGTCTACGTTAAAAGACAAAGTAGCCGGACAGCTTGTTCGATCGAAGTACATGAGAAGCGATTCCAACACGAAATGGGAAGATGCAGTGATCTCTGGGCAGCTTCACAGGAAGGGCAAACTGTCATGGTCCAAGTGTTACTGCGTTGTGAGCGGCAGCAAGGTCTACTGCTACAAGTCACAGAAGATGGAAGGTGAACCTGACGCCGTAGTCTCGCTCGCAGGCACCACGGTGGAGAGCTACGAGACAGAGAAAAGACCCCATTCTTTTAAAATCACCGAGGCCAATGGCAAGACTATGGTGTTGTCAGCGATGGACGCAGTCGAACTGAATCGGTGGATGACAGTACTCAAGGCCACAGCACACACAGACGAAGAGGACGGCAAAATCTCCAAAGGCAGTTTTTCAAGCAGCTCGGGCTCCGAACCCCAAACCCCGAGCATCATCATATCGCAAGAAGACGACGGTTCTTACGAAGAGGATTCCGATAGGGATTTTGAGAACAACCAAAGCATCTCTAGATACAGGTATTCCAAAAAGAGCTTCCAGGATAGCTATGGAATTTTCGAGAAGCACCTACCAGGACCAAACAACGAAGGGTTGCTACTCGTGGACGACAGTGATGAAAAGTCCAGTGCAACGGTAAGAGGAGGTCAAATCTAACTCGTAGTAAATGTTTAACTGAGTGCTTAGGCCACAGCAAGTAATTTTTATGGATGACATCAGCGCCCGCATTAATTTTTGCCTGGCTTTAGAGAGAAAAAAAAAAAAAGAAATTTTGTTGCTCTCTGACAGTGGTCAACATGCCGAAAATGGGCAAAGATGTCTGTTGCCATGCCGGAAGGTGGATGACAGATAACTATGAAGAGAGGAGACAAGAAAAGGCTCTGATTTAATGCTTTGTTTCTTACTTTTATGCAATGATATGTGATGCTGGCTGTGTATATGTGATGCTCCCACTTGTTTGTTTGTTTGTTTTTATTAGATCTAATAAAAACAAACAAACAGATGCTCCCACTAAATCAAAACCATTTGTACAATGATTGAGTCAAGATGTTTAATTGTAGGAACCTTGTTTTTTTTGGGCCCGCCTTGTTTTTTTTCGCCCGCTCGCATTAGATTTGGACTCTGTGGAGGATGTCATCCATAAAATTTACTTGCTGTGGCCTTATGTACATACGTGTGTTCTCCAAGTAGTGAATAGTGAGATTGTAGGGATGCTCTCTGAGAGTCCAATTCTTCCGATATCAGAAATCTATAAGCAAGTCAAAGGAAGCTAGCTTGTTTTAATGCTTGTAGACTGTACTACCAAAGTACTAAAACATAAAGTAGCAAATCACAAAGAGCAAACGACCAGCGATCGGACGACAGCGTTTTCCTGTTGTTTCGTTTTCCATACGTGTTCACAGTAAGGCCACACCGCCTTAATTTTATGGATGACATCCTCTGAAGACCCCCAAACTAGTGCGCGCGGGCGAATAAAAAATTCCGGCCAAACATAAAAATGCTACTAAACCATGGGAATACAAAGCTGGTGTTGTGAATTTGCTGCAGTACATAGCGAATTTGCTGCAGTACATAGCAGTACATAGCAACATACACCTCATCTGTATATAGTTTTTTGCTTGGTACAAATTCTTTATGTATTATAGTGTATATGAGGGTGTGTATATAGTGTTTGTTTTGCCTATTGTAACTTTTATTTTCTGTACGCAAACTCTTTCAATTCAGGGATTCTCATCCCTGCTGCAAGGTTTGCTTTTGGTGTTGAAATAAACTATCAAATAATTTTTTTATACAAGCAGGCAAATGCTGGCCTTTTGTGGAATTTATGAATCGGCACTGTACGTATGTACTAAGTTCTTGAGTCGAGGAGCTTGGGCTCTGCCATCCTCCAGAGTTACCACCGGCTCCGTATTGTCGCTAACTACCATGGACTACCCAGGCCTAGAGCCAGGCCATATCCTCGGAGGACGTGATCTTTTTTGGGGGGAGAAAAGGCGAAAATCAATGCGCGCGCGGATGTCATCCATAAAATAAATATGGTGTGGCCTTAGCTTATGCTTACAGTTTAAGCCTATGATTAAAATCTGTAGCTTGTGTACAAGAATCCATGCAATGTCACCCTCCCAACACCTGGCAGTCACAGGTATTTCGGAACACAGTACGTGTGATGACGCAACTTTCTGAATGATTTACAGGGTGACGACTGGACGGGCATGTTTGCCGGGGAGTCGGGAGACGAGTCCGACACGTCAGACGAGGAAGACTCTGCGGTAAGAAGAAAGTTTAATACCTTTTCTGGACTACTTATAGCCTCTACCAGACTTCGGGAGGCGGCTGGAAAGAGTAGACATCGGCCAAATAGAGAGATAACATGCCAGGGGAGTTGGTCTGCTGGGAGAAAACATTTTACCGCACGAATGTTTTCTCCCAGCAGACCAATTCCCCTGGCCATGGAATGTTATCTCTCTATTTGGCCGATGTCTACTCTTTCCAGCCGCCTCCCGAAGCCTGGTAGAGGCTAGACTACTTACACCTTACAGGACCCATGAAATACGCCTAGTCTAGGGATAGAGTTCTCACTTTGCATTTGGTAGGTCGCGGTTCAGACGTAAAGCCAAATTATGCACGTAGTGATTTCTTTGATTTGTGACTTGCTGCGGAGGTTCTACGTGAGCAAATATACGCGCCAAAGGGTGTGGCAAATATTTTTACTCTCAACTTACTAACGTTAGTATGTATATACTTTATACGGAGATTTTAGTTGCGGTAACAGACTTTGTTAAATTACATATGTGATGTGTCTTCCTATGCCGTACATATATATACAACAATGAAATGTCAGGAATACACTGTTGTACTCGGAAACACACCTAAAGCCTTACCCAATGCCCTATAGCAGCATTTCAGAGTTATTAGTACCTCACGAATTTTACCCTAAAACTCCTTTGAAAGGAAACAGTCTTGACCGGTTGGGTATTGAGGGTGGCAATATGCCATCAAACGTTACTGAATTCATACTTCACTATGCATGGTAGTCTTTACCTCCACTCATTCTATGGCTAATCGTTTTGCCAATTGTAACACCAAAGGCATTGAAAATGTATAGCATCATTTGACACACAAACAAATCTAAAACACACTGACTCTACAGAGGTTTATTTAACATGAAGTGCCTACTAATGTTTGAGAGGGCGTGCAGGAAAAAGCTATTTTGTGTTTGCGAACGATGTGAGTGTTTGTACTTCACACAATCACCGGACACGAATCGATCCGAATTTGGCACGTAGAACCGACAGATTCTTCCGTTACTACGCTGAATACGTGAGGGTTTTCTCCAGGTAAAGCATTGGTCACAACCCGCCGTACAAATGTACGTGCTTCTGCGTGCTGTCTACGTGCAAAAACGTGGGCAAACGTAGGGCATCCGTGCGTGGTGAGTACCGCCTCCGTACGGAATCCTACGGATTTGGGAGCACGCAGACACGCCGTAGAACTTTAAGTGCATGTAAAACTTTTCATGCGTGCGGTCTGCGGATTCACTACTCATACGTGCCCTGTACAGCCTATGAGCGTACAACGCACGTTTTCAGAAAAACGTAGCTGACGTGCCCCCCCCCTCCCCCCAAAAAAAACGTACGGACAAAAAGCACGTGCGGCGGGTTGTGACCGAGGCTTAACATAGTATACAACTAGTATGTCCGGATGTTTTGAAACTATTTCATAGTTTGTCAGTACGGTTGTAGGACCAGCGTGCATACATGGTAGTCAGAAAAGTATGAGTTGGTTGCATCAGCCATAGGTATACTGTACTTTCTCTTAATTTGATACTTGGTACATAGTAATAGAATTGAATAGCAAAGTTCTTTCATCACAACCATTTAGTGCACCAAGTAACATCTAGTGTCAGTGCACAGTAAACCAGTCAGAATCGCCCTGATGAAGATGACAGACGTCGGCTCGTGAAAAATAAATGGTTGTGATGAAAGAACTTTGCTATTCATTCGTTTACCAACCTAATGAAATTATTTACGGGGTAATAGAATTGTTTTGCATAGCTCAGTGCACATATGAATACAGATATTTTATTTTCAGGACGTTTCAGGTTATGTTGTTATCTTTTATGTCCCTGTATTGCTTTACTTTGTTACTATAGCTACATCTAGTATTACAGATAAATGCGAATGTGATAGCCTCCGTAGCAGGCTTATAGAACTGGGGGTTTGGTGGTCTTCGGCTGTTTTCTGATTAGCCCAGTTAAAAAAAACGGTGGTAATTCAACCAGGCCGGCTATGTTGTCTATGTGCAATCAGAAAATAGCACATAAAAGCTCCCAAAGACCATGAAGACCCCAAAACCCCCAGTTTTTAGCATGCTATGGAGGATACGAATGTGCTCTAGGTAATTTTGAGAACTGGCCTTTTCCTTGATCGAATTCAAGCAATTAGATTTACGTCCAGAGAAGTAGCAACGAAGGTTTTTTTTTCTTCAGTTCCTAGTTCCGCCTATAAGAAACAAGAGTACCTGGGCGTCGGTTGGTGACCTCCCAGTTGCCATGGCAAACGAACACGTAAAGAAAACACGAACCCAGTCCGGAGACTCGGGACTGGAGGGACTCAACTTAGAGCACGGCAGGAGCTGGGAATTCCAAGACGGTGAGTTAAGTTATATTTCTAGTCTCCAAGCAGATATTTAGGCTAAGGCTTATTTTGACGTGTTTTTGACGTTTTTATGTTTTTTTTTTAATTTTAATTTTTATTGAAACATATAGTGACAAGACGTGGTGGCGACACACTCAAATTACACTTATATTCATGTCGCCACCAGACAATACATAATACATACGACAAGCAAAGCACGAATTAACATATAGAAATCGAATACAATAGTTAATCAATGAACAAGTGAAAAATATATATGTGTGTGTGTGTGTGTGTGTGTGTGTGTGTGTGTGTGTGTGTGTGTGTGTGTGTGTGTGTATATATATATATATATATATAT